ATGAATATGGAAGTTCTCGTAGCATGAACATAAAAAAGGCAATAAAACATCCCTTGAAAATCGTGAGACACAGTTGACAGAAAGGTTAAGTTAGACAGAAAGGTACTCTTTGACGGTTTACATTAAAAGAAATTGTTGTAGCTATCCTTTAAATAAGAAGTTGCAAATTTAGATTGTCAAAATGCAACTTGATGCAAGATAGGTTGTCACTGAATATTCAAATTTTATAAATCACATGATCACGTTATCGTTCATGCCATTTCATAACAGTCCAGTCTGAGTACAAGCCAGTGTTGGAGCAAAGGTTTTGATTCTCAAGGCCAAGACTTTGACCCACAATCCTTACGTCCAAGACTTAACCCTGAAGGTCAAGGCCCTGCAGTGCAAAGTTACTACTACGCCTGTAAAACATGTCACATCATATCTTGACTTAAGTATCGTCAGACTGGCAGTTGTTCTCAATGCCACCCTATTTGTTATCTTATTACAGTGGCATAAAATTGTCGCTTGTCCCGATGCTATGTTACTGTTATACAGTATCTGTATAATGACGTCTTGTCGTGCAGTAGCATCGTATTATCCTGCCGTCGTGTGGCACTTTCGTGTCCGATCGAGCTTTGCGTCGTGCCGCTTGTTTGCACGTTGTGCTGTTGCGTCTGCCGTCGCAACGAAAGTTTGCGTCATGCCGGCGAGCTGTCGTGCCGTGCCACTGCAGAGTCGAGTCTTTGTCCTGCTGTTGCCTCAGACTTGTGGAAAATAGACGCGCCCTTACAGACGTAACTTAAGACGTCGGCTTGTTCCTACAGACTGGTTAATAAGTCAGCAAGTCACTACTAAAGCGTTTTATTACTTATAAGCCTGAATACAATACTACAAGGTATATCATAGAAATATGTCAAAACTCATCCATAGCTAACATTATTCATATGTTCATACTATCTTCATACATATGATCGTGGAGTGGATTTCGGAATGCTCAAACAGCAATTTTACCCTTAAATTTCACTGTTTTGTCAGAATTAGGAGAGAAAGAACTTTCTACTTAATGGAAGACTGTTTCACCTTGTTTGAAGATCTTCCATTTATGATTTGTTCATGTGCTGTTTACATTACGACCCTGGGGACAATATGGGGAACTTCTTTAACCACAACATGTTCCTGATTTTAAGGAGCACCTCCAAGGAAAAAACATGTTTTCTCTGATTTTATCTGTTCAAATAAATATGGAAGCATCCAAATCGAACGCAGTGTCATTTGTTTTCACAGGTCAACCATAACAAGCTAAAAAGGTTTTTTTTCTGAACACCTGTGAAACTTGTATTTTTCCTGATTTTCTTAATTGGGGATATTTATCCCTGTTGTCTGTGGCAACTGATTTACTGGTCTGGACCCCT